TGGGGCTTGAACTCTGGGCCTGGGCGCTGTCCCTCAGCTCTTCAGCTCAAGGCGAGCGCTCTACCACTTGAGCCACAGCGCCACTTCCGGTTTTCGGGTGGTTTATTGGAGATAGGAGTCTCACGGTCTCTCCTGCCCGGGCTGGCTTTGAACCGTGATCCTCAGATCTCAGCCTCCTGAGTAGCTAGGATTCCAGGCGTGAGCCACCAGCGCCTGGCATTATTATATATTTTTTGCAGCCTGTATTATATATTTTTTGCAGTCTCTGTGGGGACTTAGATATACATGTATGTTATATATAATTATATATGCAATGTTGTTGCTTATGATTCATATACATTTCCAGTCCACATACCGTATATCCCCAGTCTCCTGTGGGAATAGATACACAATCCTGTGTCACATACAATGTATCCACTGATTTTGCTGGTCGTGGGGCTTGATCGCTGGGCCTGGGCGCTGTCCCTGAGCTCAAGGCGAGCGCTCGACCACTGGAGCCACAGCCCCACGTCTGGTTTTCTGGTGGTTCATTGGCGATCACAGAGTCCACGGCCTTTCCTGGCCCAGGCTGGCTTTGAACCGCGATCCCTTGGCGTGCTAGGATGACAGGCGTGAGCCACGGGCGCCAGGCCTACTATTTATTATCACATGTTATATGTATAATCGTATATAAAATAAAAATAGTAAAAAATCCGAAACACACCCCAGTACTGGGGGGGGGGGGGGAGATGGTGCGGCCGGGCACTTCCGCCTCGGCGCCGATGACGTCACGGACGCGACTTCCGGCGCTCCCCGGCCTGTTTTTCCCTCCCGCCCCTCTCTCCTCCTCCTCCCCCGGCCCTCCCCGTCTGACCTTTCACCCCGGTGGGCGGTGGCCCGCCCCCTCCGCAGGCTCCCCCCCCCCCCCCCGGCGCGGGTCCGCACGTCTCCCGGGCGTGACGCTCCGCGGAGGGACGTCACCGCAGAGCCCACGATCCAGGAGCCGGGAGGCGGGAGTAAGTCGTGATTGACGTCCACACCTGCCTATGAGCCGTCACGGCCCTCCGTTAAGCCTGACCAATGGGGGGGTGACGGAGCCCCAGCGGTTACAGAGCGGTCCCGCCCCTCACATCCGGTGACGGCGCGCCGCCATGTTGGGTGTGGCGGAAGTCCCTCCGTGCAGAGAAGGTCGGCTTTGCGTTGAGCCTTCCCCCCCCCCAGAGCTGAACCCCTTTCCGAAGTTTGGCTGCTCCGCCGTCGCCCATGTTCCTTTCCCTCCTCCCCGCGCGGACACGGCCTCCCCCCCACCCCCCGGCTCTGCATTGCCGCCACACCTAAGATGGCGACCCGGGCATGCCGCTCCCGAGGAGGAGGGGCGTCTCCGTGCTTCCGGCGGCGCGGTGACGTCAGCGCGCTGCGTGCGGCCGGCAGGTGGAGGCCGAGCCGGGCGGGCGGGCGGGCG